ATTTTATTAAAGATGAAATAATTTAGACAGTTTTTAACTCTCAGTGTTTGTGTGACTTTGGGACCTGCAGCGGAGTTTGGACCTGGAAACAGCTGATGACAGCAGACTAAAAGACCGGATATCGATAACGATGTGGTTTGATATCAGAACAGGTTCAGCAGCTCGAGTCGTACCGACAGAGACTTGATCTGAGGAACACTTTGTTTGTCTTTTACCTCCAGCTGTGTCCGATCCACACCGGGGGGCAGTTTACTGCGTCCTCTGTGAGTCACCACCAGCACCTCGTAGGGATAAACCTGCACGCAGACACGCAGAGGAGACGTGACGTGAAAACCACATCGTGTCCCGCTGAGGGCACGAAACAGCCTCACACATTTATCTGCTCGCTGCGCCCGAGTTCAGACTCCATGTGGAAACAGGACACGTTTAATACATCCGCCCTGCTCATTCCATATTCTTATTCTATAAGGGCAGCTTTGCACGAGTGACAGTTCATAATAATCCTTCTTTATCTCACACTGACGCTCAGAGATACCCTCTATGACATCATAAAGATCCAAGAGTAGAAGAACTGGGCCAAACTGCGTGTTTACAGCAGCCTGAGCTTCGGCAGCTCTACTTTCTGTACCTTGTGCTCCAGCATGCTGGGGAGAGAGTTCCCTCTGTCCATCCTCGAGTCCCCGTTCTGACACAAAAAACAAACAGTATGATGAACACCGGCGCCAATTATTCATCAGGAGTTTCTGCAAACGAGGTTAAAGTAATGGAAAGTGTACCTGAAGCCCTGCAGAGACACAAAGAGACACGAACAGTTTCATTATTTTCTGTTACGAGTTCACTGATGCAGGAAAAAAGTCGAGTCTGAGAATGGACGTTTGTGCTGAAGTTCAATTTTCAGCACAAAATGCTAAAATACTTCACAGGTGTAGTTGTACAGGTGTACAACTACACCTGTAAAGTCCTGAACCTGAGCTTTAATGACGGACGTTCGTACCTGCAGCGGGTTTCTGCGAGGAGCTGAACTCGGCCGAGCGCAGCTGCAAACAAACACAAACAGGTTGTTGTCTTCACTCGACTTCGTTGTCAAACCTCAGAGCGAGCGTGCGGATACTCACCCTGGACAGGCCGCTCTTAGAGGACGCTGGGAAATACACGGACCTGGAGGCATTGGACCCTGCAGAGCAGAGGGGAGGGGCTGTGAGGGGGGAAGGAAACACTACACAACATGTGCATCAGTCCTTCCACCTGCAGATGTTTTGTTCTGAAAGGTCACGACAGGTGACATCACTTCCTGTTTCCACGATGCATCATGATGCCTTCACTGAAATCTGAACCTGAAACACTAAAACTGCAGTTTTTCAATTTGCACCAAAAGTTACAAACTGATAAACTTTAAAAATGTTTTGTGTTTTACTTCCTCGTTCACTTTACTTTCTTAAAAGTGACGCTCGTAAAATCAGAAGAATTTCAGGTTCAGATACTTTTACTAACAGCGCTTACAAATCCTTCAACTTTGCAAATTTTCTTCGTATTAAATGATATTTTTGTGGTTTTGTGACATCTTTGTCACCATGAGTGACTATTGGTCTCCACAAAGTAGTGGTAGAATAGTTATGTTAGTTATATTTTACACAACCAAACCCATAATCACATACTGTGTATTATCTTATTTTATATTTCTTTGTATTTTCTTTCTGAAATCTGTACCTAACGCAAAAAATGTCAAGTGTGTGTGTGTGCGTGCGTGCGTGTGTACCGGCGTTGCGGCTGCGCTCTGGTAAAGAGCGTGTTTTCCTCCTCAGAGGCGCTGCAGACTTCTCCAGCTCCTCCTTCAGGATGATTTTGCCCAGATTGGACTGAATCTGACACGAGACACAAACAGAAGACGACTTGTTGTAAATAATAATAATATATTAAGTAAATGGCCTGTATTTGTATAGCGCTTTACTTAATCCCTGTGGACCCTAAAGCACTTTACACTACATTCAGTCATAAACACACATGATGGCAGCTACATTGTAGCCACAGCCGCCCTGGGGCGCACTGACAGAGGCGAGGCTGCTGACACTGGCGCCACCGGGCCCTCTGACCACCACGGGTGAAGTGTCTCACCCAAGGACACAACGACCGAGACTGTCGGAGCCGGGGCTCGAACCGGCAACCTTCCGATTACAAGACCAACGCCAAACTCTTGAGCCACGATCGGCCCGTAATCCAAAGTATTCAGAATACGTTACTCTCATTGAGTAACATAATATGTTACAGAATACATTTTGGGGCATGTATTCTGTAGTGGAATACATTTTAAAAGTAACTTTCCCAACATCTGCACACGTTTGTAGAAATAATAATGAAAAATGCATCGAGCAGTTTCAGCAGGGATCGTTTTCCCTCCACCAAAGCAGCGAGCTAACACGCAGAGCTGAGGACCAATCATCAACCTGCAGCTCCTCTGGTGTCCAGCAGGGGCCGCAGTGAGTCGTCTCACATGTTAAACATGCTCACAGCCTGATACACAGACTTCTGTCTCTGTGGGGAATTTCCTCCTTTATAACAGCTGGTTATTACTCACCTGTTTAAATCCTATTAAGGCTTAAAGTTTGAGGGGCGTGGCCTGTTTGACTGACAGGTGAATGGTGACGCAGGTGACTGTAGCTGCTAGCTGTCTGCTAAGCTTCACCTGAACTCTGTGTTTTAATGACATCATGTGACCAATAACATGAGGTCACAGCAGACTGAGCTCAGCTGAGTTGGGAGAAATTCGAGGATTTGACTGATTAGCAGGTCTCTGTGTTTGACTCCGCCCTCCAGCTTCTCGTGGTCACAGCTGATTCTGCAAACAGACGTTTCTGATGGAGCTGAAGTGCTCTTCAGGAAAAACGTGGCTTTTATTTTGAGCCGTGCCTCTAAAGGATACACGCGACAGTGAAAGCACATTTAAAGCTCAGATTATCTCACACACATGCAGATCTCCACGATGAAGTCGGTGTTTTCAGTCTCCCACCAAGCAAACAGCAGCTGACGCAGCAGCCGTCCTCATGCTTTATTCATCGTACTGTGAGAGTTTTTAAAAGCAGCTTCTTGCATGTGAACATTTCCTGCTTTTCTGACAGTGAAGGTGATTTTTGGTAATTCCTGACCAACTTCAAACTGCTGCAGCTCATCTGCACCTGCAGCTGGCTCCGGGTCTCCCACCTTGTTCAGCTCTTGCTTCTGAAGCTTTCTGAGTCCCCACAGCTCATCATCCAGCTCTCCATCCTCCTCCTCCTCGACTTTCTGCTCCTTCCTCTTCCATTCCTTTTCTGCTGAGAGGAGTTATGGAGAGAAGAAGAGAGGAGACAAGGGAACGGTGAGACGAATACGTGACAAGAAGCAGGAATAATCAGGATTGAAAGCCAGACGTGATTTTTAGATGAAAACCTGGAAAATCCCACTTTCGTAATGAACTGTAAATGTAGCACAAGGTGCGTCTCATTGATCAGAGTGTGTGTATGTGTGCATTTGTTTAAACATCATTGTGAGGAGCAGAAATTGCCTACAACTGTAGTTGTGGGGACTAAATGCTGACGAGTCTGAAGCATGTTTGAGGCTCAAAGTGTGGTTTAGAGTTACAGTCAGGCCAGAGCGAGCAGCATCGTGTCAGTTAGATGTCCTCACTAAGATATGAAAGCACGAGCGTGTGTGTGTTTGGGTCGTACCAATCACGGCCAGCGAGGGGGGGCAGGGCCAGTAGTCGGTCTCGATCTTGGAGGGCTGGTTCGGGTCTGGAGGCTGAGCTGCAGGAAACTTTGAAGACTCGATGATCAAATCCTCGATGTGTTTCCCCTGAGGGACCGAGGAGGACGACACATCTGCGCACACAGACACACACACACAGACACACACACACACACGCACACACACACGCACAGTGCATGTTAAAGCAGATTAACAGTGAAAGCAGGCGTGCTGTTTACAGGACGGCGGCTGACCCACATTCACTCGCTCTGTTTTCATCACGTTCAGCGATTTCTTGCAGCTTTTATTCTGAAATCAGTTTGAAGCTCAGTGACTCACCCTGTTTGTAGATGGGAGGCTTCTTGTAGATGTTGGTACCGTTTTCTGAAAACAATAAAAGCACATGTGTGACACCTGTGCTCTTCTCTGCTGGCTAAACAATAATTACTGGTTCACAGGGTGAACATGAGCTCCAGAGGACGGCACATCTGGCACATAGAGAACTCCAGATGTGGACCAAACGTCATCAGCATCTGGAAGCGGTCTGCGTGCACAAACTCAGTTTCACTGCTCACAAATCAACTAATCATCCCAATAGTTGTCTTTTCTGGTCCTGACATTAGCGGCTAACACGTCTCAGACGTGGACGCTGTGCTGACGAATCAGTGAAGCTCATCTGGGAATCTCTGAATTTCTCGATGTAGCCCCTCCCACAGGGGTGTCGACATTGTTTACACAGGTAAACACACGTGTTTGAAGAAATAAGTCACCTGATGGAGATGCTGTTGCTAACTGGGGGAAAGCCTAGCTGATGGAGCTACATCTGCACCCTTCAGTACTGTTCTCCACAGTCGGTGGGGGGAGTCGGCTTGTGTTTACCTGGCCTGTGGAAATGCTGCACGGTGCTCTTCACAGTACCAGACGAGTGTGTGTTGGGTGTGGTTGGTGTGTTTGGCGTTGATGGGGTGTGTGTGCTGTGGGTTCTGGTGCTCGGGATGGTGGAACCAGGCGAGGACCCTGCAGGTGATCGGCTCTCGAGCCACTCCCGTGTCTCCTTGGACAGATTCTGGAAACACAGAGGACGTATTTTAAAAAGTGGGGAAATGTGAAGGCAGAGCCGATGATCCTCCTCAGAACATGCAGGGCATCCCCATGAGGACTTTCTAAGACATGATGCCAACTGCATCGACTCGACCATCAAAGCAAGACCTCCTCCATTACTACCACTACTTAATGGTCCTCAATCAGAATTAGAGGCCTCGTGGACCTTTACAGAGTAAACCTTGAAAACACCAAAGAACCTCTTTCAGTGTTAGTAGAAGCACCTAAGAGACCTTTAGGATCTCCTGATTGATAACTAGAGCCTCGTTTATAGAGAACTTATGAGAAACTTCAACCACCCTGAGGATTCTTGAACTAACACTTTACAGCCTTAAAAGAAACGCAGTGACTCTTAGGACGCCCCTCGCCAATGCTCTAAATGACCAACAGAGTCAGTGTGAAGAAGAGCCCAAAATATGACTATAAGTAATCTGAGTATGCCTGGAAGGATGCCGTCCGAACCGATTACTGCACTTCACACACATCATCCCTAAAATGTTCGAAAGGTTGTTTAGAAGCTGAACCTTGTAAAAGAAGCATCAAACCTTCTCAGTGACCACTGGGACGTATACGACCTCCTCGCTGACACTATGTTCCTGACTCAAACCTCTTTAAACATGCCAACAGAACCACATTAATGTTGAGATGCTTCAGCGTCAGGATCATTTCACAGAAGCTGGTCTGAGACAACAACAGATGTGTCAGTGTGCTAATAACAACCATCACACAGTCAGACGCCCACAAAGCATCTGAGATCTGCTTCTGTCATGAGATCTATATTGTCTGCATTTCCATCATATCTCACTTTCATTGTAGGGCTCTGATCTGACCTTTGACCTCATCACTAGTGCTTGTTTTGTTGGTTATCTGCAGAGTAAACAGGAAGAAACTAAGATCAACTATATGATGATATGTAAAGAAAGAATGAGGGGGGGGGGGTTACCTCTGGGGAGGGAGGAGGAGAGATGGAGCGAGGAGACAAGGACCTCTGTGGAGAAAAAAGCAAAAATAGATGAAACGCTTGAAGCTAAAAATAGATTTAGAGAATGAAGACGAAGCTCCACAAACACACAAACTCTGCTTCTGACTCTGAAGTCGTTTCTGTTTTTAAACGATTGCACCAAATGTAAATTCTAGAGGATTACGTTGCAATTTACACTTTGACCTGAAGGTGGCAGTGTTCTTTACACCCAACGGTTAAATCCAGACACAGAAATGCTTCACGGTAACGTGATGTGAAGCATAAATCAGAGAAGCATTGGTTTAGAGTAAAGGAAAAGCTGGATGATGACAGTGGCCACGAGGCTCCCAGCTGCGCGCGCATTTAGGTAAATGTGCATTTATATGCAGATGATCAACATTTAGCATTTAGCTCTTTGTTGAAGTCTCCTCCTTCGGCTGGCTCTGCTGTTAAAAACAAACGGGAGCTTTTTCAGGGAGACTCTGACCTGTGCAGTCTGTGACAACAGCTGCAGCAAAGCAAACGTGTGTCATGACACAAAGTTTAGACTTTGTGCAGAATCAGCTTCAGCTGCGAGGCTCATCACTGCCCAGCAGAGCTTAAAAAGTGCCTTTTGTTTGTTTCAGTCATCAGTCTGCAGCAACCACAAGACTGTGGCTGAAAT